GTTAGTCAAATTATTCATCACCTCCTCCCTCCCTGAATCTCTGGACCCCCTGCAGTTTGCCTACAGAGCAAACAGGTCCACAGACGACGCCATAGCCCTCACCCTCCACACTGCCCTCTCACACCTGGACCCGAAGAACAGGAACACATATGTGAGAATGCTGTTCATTGACTACAGTTCAGCATTCAACACCATTGTGCCCTCCAAGCTGGCCATCAAGCTCAGAGACCTCGGGCTCAACAGCGCCCTCTGCGACTGGATCCTGAACTTCCTGACGGGCAGACCCCAGGCAGTGCGGGTGGGAAACATCACATCCTCCACCCTGATTCTAAACACCGGTGCCCCTCAAGGCTGCGTGCTCAGCCCTCTCCTCTACTCCCTGTTCACCCACGACTGCGTGGCCACACACAGCTCCAACACCATCGTGAAGTTTGCTGATGACACGACCGTCATCGGCCAGATCACAGACGATGACGAGACGGCATACAGAGAGGAGGTCGAAAACCTGACATCTTGGTGCCAGGAGAACAACCTCCATCTCAACATCAGCAAAACAAAGGAGCTGATTGTGGATTACAGGAAGCAGCAGGGAGAGGGACACGCCCCCATCGCCATCAATGGGACTACGGTGGAGAGAGTCAAAAGCTTCAGGTTCCTTGGGGTCCACATCACTGAGGACCTGACATGGTCTCTTCACACCACCACCATCACCAAGAAAGCTCGACAGCGGCTCTTCTTCCTCCGCAGGCTGAGGAGGTTCAAAATGGATTCCAGGATATTCTGCAACTTCTACAGGTGCACGATAGAGAGTATCCTCACTGGCAGCATGACGGCCTGGTACGGCAGCTGCACCGACCTCGATCGTAAGGCTTTACAGAGGGTGGTGAAAACTGCACAGCACATCACCAGGACGGAGCTGCCATCCATGGAGGACCTTTACTCCCAGCGGCTCAGGAAGAAATCACTACGGATTATCAAAGACCCCCATCACCCCAGCCACAAACTGTTCTTTCTGTTGCCGTCTGGCAGACGTTACCGCAGCATCCTGGCAAGGACAAGAAGATTCGGAGACAGTTTCTTCCCGCGGGCAGTGAGACTGTTAAAAAATTGAACTGTTGAAACAACTTCAAACATTCAACTGCTACTCAGTAGTATGTATCTAATACCTAATATATATATATCATTCCAATAACTTGTATATAGACTCATACTGCACTATTCCACATCATAACTTTATTTCATTTTTATAACTATTATTATTTTTGTATTGCTCTTGCTCTTATTGTTATTATGTTATGTTATTATGTTGCATTGTTGGAGAAGCCTGTGACATAAGATTTTCAACTGCATAATTACTCTGTAGCTATGTCAGATTGACAATAAAGAACCTTGAACCTTGAACCTTGAACCTTGATAGTTCCTGGGATTTTGCGTTCACACCAAAAAGATCTGGAACTAGAACTTTTTTTCGGAAACCTTTTCACTAGCAGGGACGGAAAAGGGGGTGAAAAGGTTCCAATTTCTGATTGGCTGGGCGGATTGCAAACCACGCCCCGTAAAACTCCGGAAAGTTTTGTGAAGCCGCCATTTTATTTGCTCGCATTAGCATTATTAGCATTAGCATTAGCCCAGCGCACAAACGCAGAGAGACTAACTTATGGCAACCCAAAAAAAAACATGGGAGCGGTGGAGATGAGGAGGTGTCGGCGCTTCTGGCGATTTACTCGGAAGGCTTCAGTAGAAGCTGCTGGGAGTCCCAGCAGCTTCTACTGAAGCCAGTCCCCAACTCCGGGGACTTCCGGCCGGGGACTTCGGGTGGCAGTATACACCGTGAAGTGGTTTGCGGCCTGCCAGTAAACCCAAAGCAGAAGAAGACGAAGTGACGTCAGCGGCTTCATTTGCCTAATCCTCCCTCAGGGACTTATTCCGGTGTGAACGCGATCTACTAGACAGTTCAGGAACTAAAGAGTTCCGGGGAAATGTTCCTGGGAAAAGTACTTGGTGTGAAAGCGCCTAACGTGCTTCCCATAGGCATTCAACATACAATAATTTAAAACAAAACGAACAAACAAAAAATGAATAAATAAATAAAATAAAATTCCAGGTTGTATCATATAACACATTTAAAGCTGCCACATAATTGGCTTTTAGGTATTAGAGAGATTGAAATGCTCTCTTTGCCTATAGGTGCATGCATATTATTAAACATACTGTGTGTGTTAGCATCAATAGGTTCTATGTAATATCATATAACACCCTTAAAGCTACCACGCAGTAACATAAAGATACACACACTTGCATCTATACCGCTATGTGTTGTTGAGAGATATTTAAATGTTACCTATAGGTGTGTGCTATGGTTTAATATAGGGAGCCAGAGGGTGGTGTTAAAGGTGGATGTCTGATGTTTCAAACATGGCAACACGACGAGTCCTGCTCTGACAGATTGAAGGTCTGATTATAAAAGCTGAATCTGGAGTCAAGGCTTTTCTATTTGCATATCCTTCATCTGCCTGGTGTGTCAACAAAGGAGAAGCTCTCTGTCTGCACACCGGTGTATTCAGATGCAAAGTAAAGTGAATGTAATTATGTTTCCTTTCTCCTTTTTCTTTTTCTTCATAACATTTTTGTCCTGGCTTTAATATGTGCGCCGCTGTGAATTTCAATTGTAGCCCTCCATTTATTTCCCTTCAAGGCGGTGAAACAAGAGAGCTTTGTGCAGGGTTTAATTCTATTTGTCTGGAAATGTGTTGTAATGTTTTGCCCGGCGGCTGTTCAGGTTAAGAGTTTTATATTTCATATATGCTACAGTAATAGCTCATTTGGTTCTGGAACAGCAGGATTTATTGTGGAGCCCTGTGGAGGTGTTGTTGGCCTAATTCAGCAAAACGTTTGGGTAGTATCACACATGAAAACCCAACGACATCCCAACATTCAACGCTCATTAGCTCAAAGTGCTGTTCTAGGATAGGCAGAGCCATTACAGATGGTTTTAGCAACCCAGTCTCACTTAAAAAATACCTTAAAATACCTTTTCTGTATTCACCATTTCAAAAATCCCCCCTCTAAAACCAACCCAGTCTCACAAAAACGTGTAATAGCTACGTTGGTCGACAGGGCAAAACGTAGTATATTCACAAATAACCCTCTCAGGACGTGACATGGATACAATATGTGTTCCTATTCATTTCTAATGACCAGTGTCCATGTCACGTGATCGCAAACTTTCCCAGTGAGAAAAACAAAAGTGGCGGACACCCGATTTCTTTTTTGTGGAAAATCCTAAATTGTAGGATAGCTTGGCCGTTATAATGCTTTTTGATTACATTTCTACAGAGAAGGTTATATTGTACTTTTAAAATATACGTCCAGTGGATGTGTAGGATCCATAGTTTGAAGATTATTTGACACTCCATGTTTTTTTTTTACAAAATATTGTATCCATGTCACGTCTTGAGAGGGTTATTTGTGAATATACTACGTTTTGCCCTGTCGACCAACGTAGCTATTACACGTTTTTTTTGTGAGACTGGGTTGGTTTTAGAGAGGGGATTTTAGAAATGGTGAATGCAGAAAAGGTAAGTATTTCCTGTATGTCCAGCCAATATGGTAAATAGTACATATTTCTTACCTGCTAACGACTCCACAAGCTCGAGATAAAAACTGAAAATGTGACTTTTGATTAATTTGCACACACAAGTATGCATTTTACACACCACCATGGACATCAAAAGTTGCTGTTTTCGGGTGTTTTTCCATTTTACACACAGTGTACGGTTACAACAAAACATTTTTCAGTATTTTCGTTAGCTTAAAGTGCTCTTCTAGGATCGGCACAGCCATTACAGATGGTCTCATTCAACAATATGCTTTTAAATTAAACACCTGCAATTTTCAAAGAACATCCATAAACATTCATCTGTTTGCATCTTGCAAATTATTTATCTAATATATCATATTCCATTTACTTGTATATAGACTCTTCTTGCACTATTTCTATTTTATTTGTATTGACATGCACATCTTACAACATTCTCTTGCACTATTTTATCAGTTTTATTTGTTTTATGTCCTATATATATTCATGTTTCACTGTTGGAGGAGCCTGGGACCTAAGTTTTTCATTGCCATATCTAATGTACACATGATGATAAAGCCTTGAATCTTGAAACTTTAGAGGGGGGAATTTAGAAATGGTGAATGCAGAAAAGGTATTTTAAAGTGGACCTATCATGCTATATTTGAATAATATAGTGGAGGACCATACCTATATAAGGCATATTTATACTTTTTTTTTTTCAAAATACCAAACAGATCATGCATTTTAGCCTCATTTTGCTCAATTTGACATTTTGTAGCTCTGTTTTAGAAAGGGCAGATTCAGTGAGAACAGCACCATCTACAGGCCTGGCATATGTACTACAGCTTCTCCAGCGCTTTCGAACGGCAATGGCCGTGGCTGTCTCCTCCTGATTGGTGGAGTTGGCCCAATAGCCGTAGCGCCACCGTCCTGACGTCAGGACAGTGTTCAAATCTGGATCAGTTTTTATCAGATCCGTTGCAGCCCCTTTTTTAGAGATTTGGGTATGGAGGAAAATAGCGAGGGTTGTGTTTTCTGACACTTGGTGAGTTCCCTGGAACACCGGGGACACATATTCATGTAGAAAAGACGTACAAAAGTGCATTTTGCATGATAGGTCCCCTTTAAGGTATTCTTATAAGAGTATATACTGTATGTCTTTACTCATCAGCCAATATGACCATTCACTAACTGTGATTTTAATTTCTTACCTGCTCACCACTCCACAAGGTCGAGATAAAAGCTGAAAACTTGACTCTTAATTGATTTGAACACACAGAAATGCATTTTCACACCACCATGGACATCAAAAGTGGCTGTTTTGGGGTGTTTTTCCATTTGACACACAGTGTCCGGTAACAACAAAACATTGTTCAGTTCATTAATGAATGACTTTCTCTCTCTGTTCTTCTCTTTACAGTTGAACGGCAAGAGGATCTGGAGAAAGAAGCTAAGGTCAGCATCCTGGAGGCCGGGATCGCCGATGTGAGTACAACAATTCAGACTTTTTCATTTTAAACCAAATGTGTGTGTGCGAGTGTAACCGGTGTTGATTCGCGGTGTCTGCGTTGTGTTTATGACATTGATGGACGAGACCCGAGCCAGCAGGCGATCTCCGTTTATTCACTGACAATATACAACAAAATCAGTCGTTATTCAATTGTTTCCTCTCACCGACTGTTCGCATGTGGAACATTCACAAAAAAGGGAAGAGGAAACATGAGGGACACAATATGAAGTCCCCACAAAAATAATCTCCTGAGTAAAGTGACAACATTCTGGAGGTTCTGCCCACTGATTCTAGACCTGGTATTGAACGTTTTATAAATAATTAACACAGCATTATTAAATACAAAGCACAGAATTATTGAATACAAAACACTACTACACATTAGCACTAAACACCACTCCAACTGTTACACGAGTGACACATTATCACACAAGTTTTCAATCCATAATGGGACTAAATCACCTCTAAATGGAACCCAAGTAAGTGGAAAACCCCAACTATGGACACACTGTAAAGCCTGTAGTATTTCAGAACATGACTGCAAGGTTTTTCTGTGAGTCGGCCACAAAAACATTAGCAATTTCCAACGCTTCAACTCCATGTTTGTGTACCAGTTCATCCCAAAGGTGTTAAGTGCAGTTCAAGTCAGAGCTTTGTTCAGACCAACACCAAACTGGGAAAACCATTTTCAAAGTCAAAGTCAACTTTATTGTCAATCTTCCAATTTGTGTGTACAGACAGAGAGATCGAAATACCGTTTCCCACAATCCCGAATAAAAAACATACAAATATATATCAAAATATGTATACAAATATGTATATACACAATCACCAGACATATTTATACATATGCACACATTCAGACATCAATAAAAGCACAACAATCAATATGTACAAAATAACCGTCACTTCAATATCTTTGGGAATGCACATTAGCATTTGGATATTGCCCTGAAAACTAAAAAACTAAGTGACTAATAGCTTTATTGTATGCTGTGGAATTTCTCTTGATTGGAATAAGTCGCACACGAAGCCCCACTTTGCGCCTGATTTGGTGTCACAACACTTTACAAATGTGTTGAGATGTGAATCATAATAAAGGCACAGGTCGACAATTGGTGTGTCGACAATTTCATTTAGCTGACAGTTTAATCCAAAGCAACTGACAATAAGAAATCAACAATTATTTTAAAAACCCTTAAAACAGCGAGAAACCTGCAAGTACATGAGCTTAAATAAACCAATCCATTGTGAGTGCTATTCTGTTAGTGTACAGTTTTATTATTGTGCTGCTGTGTTTATTGTATTTTTGTAACTCTGGAACAACAATTTATTTCTTATCTTATCTCATCTTACATATCTTATCTTATGAATTCAAAGCATGGGTCTATTAGCCACACCACTTGATGCATATTGCAGAATTTTCGAGCAGAATAGTCTGTAATTTTCTCCCTTTGTCTTACTTATTCAGTGGCGTGCGATTTGTCCAATTGAACTTGTACTTAAAATCAGTGAGTAGCATCTCAAGAGAAAGATCTGAACCACATTTCTGATGTTTGGCGCCACCATGGACACCAAACGTTTCTGTTCTTGGGTGTTTCCCATTTTACACACAGTGTCCGGTAACATTACTTTCTGTAGAACATTTTTCAGTTCATTCATTCATGTATTTCTCTCTCTCTCTCTTGGTGTAGTTAAGCAGAAAGAGTTGTCTCCCTTTTCCGTACTTATTTAGCGGATTGTATTATATTATTATTATGTATTTATTTCAACAAGGACCATGCATACAAATACATTAATCTCAGAGAAGAGAAGAGATGAATTATGCCAGATTTGAGCTAATAGCTCATCTGCAGTCCTTAGGCAGGTACACAACAATCAACAAACACTAGAAACATTGCATCATCTCTATCACACAAACAATTATAAAACATGTTTAAAACAAGATTGTGATTTGTCTAATTGAACTTTAAAATAATTGAGTAGCATCTCAAGAGGAAGATCTAAACCACATGTCTGATGTTTGGCGCCACTCCACACACGTTTAAAACATTAATTATCTTATCTCTCTCTCTCTTTGTGTAGTTAAGCAGAAAGAGTTTTTTCTCCCTTTTTCGTACTTATTTAGCGCAGTGCGTTCTGTCTAATTGAACTTGTACTTAAAATAAGCGGGCAGCATCTCAAGAGGAAGATCTGAAGCACAGTTCTGATGTTTTAGCGCCCACCCCTTCCCTTCCACCTCTCTCTCATCCTCTCTCTCTCTTGGTTTTCATCTCCGAGCATTACTATTCCTCACCATCTCTGTGATAAATAGACTGCTGAGCGTCTGCACTCGCCTATTGATTCAAGAGTTAGTCGGCACAGATGACGGCATGCCATCCACCATGCTTATCAAAGTAGCTGCAGAGAGAGAGAGAGAGAGAGAGAGAGAGAGAGAGAGAGAGAGAGAGAGAGAGAGAGAGACGCTCGGAAATGTGAGGAGAATGAGGGAGAGAGAAGTTGGGAGGAGGGGTGGAATTGAGGGTCTATGGAGGTGATCAATACATAGCTGCAACCTCTGTTGTAAGAGAAAGAGAGGAAGAGGAGCAGAGAGGAATAGTGTTAGAAAAATATCACTCGTCACCGGTTTGAGCTTCAATCGGGTCTTGTAGGTAATCATACATCCTGTAATGTACAAAATACTGAGTTTTTCTCAACATGTTAACTTTTTTTCTGAAAATCTAAAAATTCTGACTTTCTCTCAAAATTTCAAAAGATTCTGACTTTCTCTAAAAAAAATCTAAATTCAGACTTTCTTTCAAAATTCGGACTTTTTCTCAAAATCTCAAAATTCGGACTTTTTCTGAATACTTAAAATTGTTACTAATCACTTGTCACCGGCTTGAGCTTCAATCTCAGGATCCATGTATTTCTGATCCTCTCCAGAATGGAAGTAGTCATCACATACAGAGCATCATCTAGTTCCTGAACAGTGTCCTTCACATGCTGATATCCAAGAGAGGGAGTTACACAGTCACAAGATGGAGGAATATCGGTTCTTGTAGGTAATCAGACATCCTGTCATGTACAAAATACTGAGTTTGTTCTCAAAATGTTGGCTTTTTTCTGAAAATCTGAAAATGCCGACTTTTTATCAAAATCAAAAAATTCTGATTTTTTCTCAAAATTCTAATTTTTTCTCACAATTCTAATTTTTTCTCAAAATTCAGTTTTTTTCTCAAAATTCTGACTTTTTCACAAAATTCAGATTTTTTCACAAAATTCTGACTTTTTCACAAAATCAAAAAATTATGACTTTTTCACAAAATCAAAAAAATATGACTTTTTCGCTAAATTATGACTTTTTCGCAAAATCAAAAAAAATTTGGTATTTTTCACTAAATCTAACAATTATGACTTTCTCAAAATCTTTCTTCAATCTCAGGATCCATGTATTTGTGATCCTCTCCAGAATGGAAGTAGTCATCACACACAGAGCATCAACTAGTTCCTGAACAGTGTCCTTCACATGCTGATATCCAAGAGAGGGAGTTACACAGTCACAAGATGGAGGAATAAAAAGCAGTATTCAATGTTTACTTCAGATTAGCTCCACGTCAGAAATGATCATGCTTGTCATATGTCTATCTCCATAGAAGCTGAATCATCATGTTAATCACATAGCTATCATATGCCTCAAACAGTCCTGATGCTCTTCTAGGTAATCATACATCCTGTCATGTACACAGCTACAGTTGGGATACCTTTGTTAGCATGTTACTCTGATATTGGAAGAGTACATTCAGTATTTTCCCAACAAAAAGAAAAAAGAAAATCTCAACCTGCAACAAAACATCCATCATCACCCCATACTGTGTTTACTATAGCTTTATCATAAGCTGTGAAATAAGAATATTAGCATACTTCATCATAGCTGACAGGTTAAAAAAAGTGCTGAGGCGGACATTTTGTTTTCCCGCAGACGTGTTTCCAAGCTCAAATCTGTGAGGAAATGTTTGGGTTTATTCTGCAGGCGGAGACATTAATACTTATTTCCTTATTATTGATGCCTGTGCGTACTGTATGTGTTTGCTGGCTTAAAACAAAGAGGAAATGTACGTGTCCCTTTGGGGCTTGTGCCCAACAAAGGTAATGGGGAGGAAAAGCAATAAAAGCAATGAAACAGTCGATCAGTAAAACAGAACGTAAATTATTGTGAGGTTGTAAAAGTTAATGCACCTGACAATACAGCATGTGAAGAGCAGTGGGTGTACAGGAAATACATGGAGAATATTGATTGTCAATACAAAAACTTGAAATCTTGCTAAGTATATTTGTCTAATATCTAGTCAGAATATGTCTCTCCACCTGATATAAGACACAATAACTTCAGAAGTAACACTGCAGTGAGATGTCAGGTCTTGTTTTTAGACAATGCATCATCTTGTTAAGTCAAAGGTTAGGGTTAGGGTTAAAATATATATTTGTTCACATATTTATTAGAAAATCACCAACTAACATCACCAAACAGAAAATGTTTGAGCATTTGCGGATTATATTTTAAAGGTCCCATGTCATGGCCATTTCTACTGATCATAATTCCATTGTTGAGGTCTACTAGAATAGATTTATATTGTTCAATGTTCCAAACTCACATTGGTTTCTCATACAGCATCTCTGTATAGTATGTGTATTCACTCTCTGTCCTAAACGGCTTGTTGGAGCTCCTGCCCCCCCCCCCCCCCTCCCTGTGAGCCCAGTGTGCTCTGATTGGTCGGGACGTTGCGAGGCTCGCTGCTCAGTGATCTGGCTTACTGGTGTGGTTTCCGGGTCGGCGATACAGCGAGAACAAGCGAAACTCATCCTGAGCACACACAAACACTCACAGCCGAAGTAAAAACAATAAGTGTGGCTTGATATTGAGTAAGAAAAAGGTTTATAACGCTGTGAGAATGGGTCTGCAGAGAGCATTTCTCCGCCATCCCATCTCGTCTAT